TTATTACATCCTTAGTAGTTAGTTAATAGTTGCGTATAGTGTGGTCCACAGTTACGTATCGTGCGGTCCATAGTTGCGCATCGTAAGGTCCATATAGTTGTATAGTTGCGTACTGTGTGCGTAGCATGCAACCATACTTAACAATGCTGCTCATCATTATCTTTATGATCATAACAACATGATAGTTGATCTAGCATGACTCGAAACCAAAACGCTCATACCAAAGTCACCTCGCGACTGCTATGCTGTCATCAGGGACAAGATTAATTAAGCGGCATACAATTCAATCTATGAATTTCACTCGTCTTCCTTCTGGCAATCCATTTTAGGCAAAACAATGCAATCCATGACTGGAATTCACCGCCACTCAGACAATCCTAACCGAGTACATGCGCAATCCATTAAAGGCAATCGCCGCCCGACCTTCCAGCCCCGGCACAGCGGACGCCACATTCGTCGCCTCGCCATAAGTGGCATGGCTTCGTCATGCCACGGCACACAGACGCCAATTAAAGCCATATCATCGTCGGCCAGACAGGCCTCCTGAAAACCGCCTGTGACTCGTGACTGAGTCAGCGTCAGTGGCTGATCTGAACCCAAGAGGGCTTAGAAGAACCCCTGTTGACATCAATGAGCCATATATGGTACTGAATTAATCAATAACTAATGAAAAAATTGGGAAAATATACCTGAATCAATGAACATTTATGCGGACAGTTTGATGCAATATTAAAATAAAAAACAAGAAGCTGATATGGATTATTGATACCGCAACTGGAACTAACCCAAGGGGAAGCTAAACTGAGACATGCGCTATAATGGCTTCCCCGGCCGCTGGACGCAGTAAATCAGCCCAACAACACAGCATCAGTCCACTGCATCAGTCCACTACATCAGTCCAGTGCATCAGTCCACTACATCAATCCACTGCATCAGTCCAATTCATTAGTCCACTGCATTATTTGGATATAAAAGTTGCCTCATAAAACATGAAGTAGAAGTAGACAAGACAGCTCTACTGCAGCAGTAGGTTAGTAGGAGTCTTCTGGTGCTAGTCTATAGTACCTAATTAAGGGGTAGACGAGTCTATTGCGTCATGTAGAGAAGCAGTGTTGAGTAGATGGTATTGCGAGTAGATGTAGATATCTTCATCATTGCCTCGTTCTATACGCTCTATCAGCCAAGAGCTCCTCAAGAGCGTGGAGGCTTTCAAGCCGCCACTGAGGCTTTGGCAGTTCTCAAACCACCAATGAGGCAGCTCTCAAGTTGGTCCTGAGGCAGCTCTCAAGTTGCCACTACGACAGCTCTTAAGCTGCCACTGAGGCAACTCTCAAGTTGGTACTACGGCAGCTCTCAAGCTGCCACTGAGGCAGCTCTCAATCAGCCACTGAGGCAGCTCTCAAATCACCACTGAGGCAGCTCTCAAGCTGCCACTGAGGCAACTCTCAAGTCGCCACTGAGGCAGCTCTCAAATCACCACTGAGGCAGCTCTCAAATCACCACTGAGGCAGCTCTCAAGCTGCCACTGAGGCAGCTGCCAGCCTGCAGCTCAATGGTCTCATTGCAGCCGCGGCCGTACAGCTGTAGCCTGACAATACCTTCATACATCTGCGTCGGTATGAGCCTCTGTATCTCTGCGCCATAGATAGTTTCAGCTATAATCTTTTATATCTGCTATTAACTGTCAGCTGCTCAATTCTGTTCATGAATGAATATAGTACTGCGCTGCGCATTTTCATGAATGAAAAATGCATTTGAAACTGCATCTTAATATGCATTCGATACTGCACCGCGGTAAGCACATGCAATACTGCACGTCGTTTATGCGTTAAAATTCAATCGGAATTTTTTCTGGTGCATGTTAAAATATAGACAGAAAATAGGTTTCGATTGTCAAGTATTTTGTGATGTAAGCGTTTTCATATTCGTAGGCTGAACTTTCGGTCAAGCCCATTCACGAATTTCGCGGCATTCTGTGTTCCTTTGCACCGGAAAAGCTCGGCGTGGACGAGTGGTAGAGATCACAAGATTGGTGCAGCGAGTTGGAGGTTCGAAACCTGGTACAACCGGCTGTGAAAATTTTGGTCCATACCGGCAAAATGGCTAAGTTGTTAAAGATTAGAGGCCATCATTGACTAATGACTATAATATATATAACCATATTATTACAGGGATGTCTATCGGGATAGAATATTTCACATGTTCAGCTTCTAATCAAACTGTGATTAATATCAGAGTTTATAACCGCCCGCATAATTCGAATTACTTCATTATTTTATCGCAAATTAAAATTACTAAATATGAACGAAAGAAGCAATTTCTCTCGTGGAATTCATCAGTTTTTGAGTTAGGAAAAAATACTCAGCTCGTGCCTAGGAGGGAGAGACTGATGATAGTTTGTATAAAACCGCCGCCAGTTGATAAATGTTGACAATTTGTAAAATTTATGCGCAACGGGTGTATCGAATCTTCCAGCCACTCTAATCATGTTGTACCTTTTATTGTGCTCATGTATACATAAAATTATATTGTAAACAATAGTGTTTTTCTTATCGGGAATATAATTGCACAAACACGAATTTTATTTAAATCGCAACTTAAAAATCTACGTCTGTCGCAATGGTCATGATGAGAAATCGACTTCAAAAATGAATCGCGAACATCCCTTGAAGTTGTAGTATCGATTAAAATGCAGTAGCTGACCTCAGTTTCATTAATCAAGAGAGATCTTCACTTACGATCGACATAGATCATCACTCACGATCGATGAACGGAAGACCTGAAATTCTATCCGATCTAGAACATCTTCTCCATATGTGGCCATGAGCGTCCATAAATTATCAGCCCGTCACAGACACATATGGAGTCCACGGAGCTGCTCAGGGCGCAGAATTGAGGTGAGCGCACTAGGCTCTCTTCTAACATATGAATTTAAATATAAGAATTTAAGCATTTAAATATTTCAGAGTTGCGTGGGAATAAATCCAGCGAGGTCTGAAAATCAGAATTTAAACATCTTAACATTTGTGTATATATAAGGGGAGAAATCGTGTGACGTTCAACGTTGACTCCAATTGTCATGTAATTTGTCAATCTAAGGGAAGAAATCTTTGTGATGTTGAAACGTCTAAAGTGTCCTGAATATGATGCATTTAAGTAGATACAACTACAGCAATGTTCTCTCGCTGAGAAGAATATCGAAATAACATTCTACCACCTTATATATTACACATTGGTTCTCTGGCCTAAAAATTTTAACAGAGAGCTAGAATAGAACTGATGAAAATCACACTAAGATGCACCACATTAGCGTTCGCTATATTGTCTTGATATATTACATAGGTACTACGTGGCATGAAAATACTGGAGCAAATCTTCAACTTCGTATATTTCACCAGTAACATGGAAATGTACTAGCGGATATACTCCTCCGTGGAGTAAATTATATATAAATCTATTAAAGGCTTCGTTGTTTTGAGCTCCCACGGAGTCGATGGTGGAGGCCTGAAACTGAACACATGGTAGTAAAATGAAAGCTTTAGTGCCGGTAAAGTCAGCGAGTGACTGATAAGTCCTGATACGCCTTGCGTACAAAGTGTACGCGGCGTAGGTTGTGATACGTCGTGCGTACAAAGTGTACGCGGCGTGGGTTGGGATACGTCGTGTGTGCGATGTGTAAGTTGTATGGGCGGGCAAGGATGAAGTGCGCTCATAAACTAACCATATTTTTTACGAGTGAGGCGAGAAGTCAGACCCAAACACTGGTCGAAAAAAACACGATTTCTAACAACAAAACATGAACAAATTTTTCAGAGATGTGACGCGAGATTACGTCGTCACAAACACTGACATAAACAAAGCGTCAACTATATCACCGATCGAGCAATTTCTAAACAAACAATGACCGAAACACAAACACTTTCGCGATTCAAATGCGCTTCGTGAACATGCCGGGAAATAAACGTAGTTAAGAACTTTGAATTAATATCATCTTCATAAAATGATTCAAAAAAGTTCACAATCACGAGAAAATCTTTCACTAACAAAAAAAGAAAAATGCGAAGCATTCTTATCAGAACGGTGCAGCAGGCGAACGAAGAAAGAAACAGGCGAACTCAATGCTGTCTGTTTGTCTGTTGGATCAACTTTCGATGAGTTAGAACGACTGCAAATACAAGGCGAAGAAATTCGCTTTTAAAACTGAATTGGATTGGGTAGAATGTATTGACTATATGATGAAGTAATGTGCTGATCTGAAATGCACAATGAAATTATTTTGAAATGCTTCATTTTAATGAATGCCGAATGTGATGCAAATATTGTGTCTCCATTGGAGTTGAGGGTAACAAATGGTGTCTCCACTGGAGTTTAGGGGATAAAATGGTGTCTCCACTGGAGTTGAGGGGAACAAATGGTGTCTCCACTGGAGTTGAGGGGATCAAATGGTGTCTCCACTGGAGTTGAGGGGAACAAATGGTGTCTCCACTGGAGTTGAGGGGATAAAATGGTGTCTCCACTGGAGTTGAGGGGAACAAATGGTGTCTCCACTGGAGTTAAGGGGAACAAATGGTATCGTCGATAAATAGTCGATAACCGCCATAATTACGTTGGGTCGAACAGCAGCCGTTGGCTGTTCAGGCAGTAAGTAGACTCTGCCAACCGGGGATAGTGGAGCGGAGAGAAAATGTTGCGGCAAGTTATGATCCCGGAAATTACTTTAATTATACTTTTTTTTGTACTAAAAAATTACTTTTTTAATATCTGAATAATGTGGTCACATTTGGAGGCCACATGGCGACGACACAATTATTAATTTGCCGATCTTTTACACGCCCGAGTATTGGGAAAGCAAAAACATGACGCGGTTCGAATAACAATCTTTAAGGAACATGCCTGGAGTATTATATTCTTCAATTATATCTTATAATATGGTATTATAGATTTTAACATTTTCATATGAATATATTTTAAACTTATTTATCCGAATAAAAAATACTCACGGCTTCGTCGCCGACGAAAGCTCTGGCAGGCGACAGGGCGGCACCACGAACCGTCTGTGGCGACAGCCAGCTGAGCAAAAGCAAGCAGATGGTCACCACCCGCCCCCACCAACTCCCACCACCTGGCAGATGGAAACCCGGGGTGGCGGTTTCTCGACCACCAAAATGGGATATAACCTCCCCCTCTTCCGATGAGTCATCGTCGCCACCAGATGTACGGGCCAAGCAATTGTCTACATCGACTGGCCCGTGCTCTACGGGTCCTAACGGATCAACGGGCACCACGGGCCCCATGGGCACCACGGGCACCACGGGCTTTGACCCGTTTTGTTTTGGTGCCCCATGAGCTCTGGCGGTGCTGCCCATATTTGGGAGGCTGCGGTCACGGCACGACGGCCGCGGCACAGCACAGACTATCATGAATATTTAGCATGAGCCGGCGTCTTCATCCCTTATCTCGGGCATCATTAATCTATATGTTCAATATATGAATATTCATTTATAATAGATGATATAGCAGCAACATTCTTTTATAATTTCATCGATTTTTTATAAAGGTTTCACTGTATCTGTAGAAAATATAGAAAAATGTTATTTTAATTTCACAATGATTCCTCGCTAGTCTTCAACAATGCATCTGAACAATCGTTTTATTTTACACATGTATAATGTTTTGCTTGAAGTAAAACAAGTAATTAAAAAGAATCAAGAGATAATGTGTCCTAAAAAACATACGACGCTCAAGCTCACGTAAACCTCACAAATCACAATTATTATAATCATACATATGTAAATATTCATATATTTTTGTTGCGCAATAACGCTCGATACCACAACTCTAGGCAGGGTAGAATTCTATGTATATATAGTGTTCATTTATATTATTACAGATCAATACGACCTGGCAACTTGATCAGTTCCAAAATATTGACTAAGTATAAAATGAATTTAGTGAAACATTTTTTCGGATTTTTTGTTACAATATGATTTGAAAACTTTTCCATTTATGTATGTTACCGCGGCTGAATTCTATCCTGACAGCAGGGTTAGGTAGGAGCTACAAGCATCCATATCAACAGTCTGCGTTAGGCCTACGTAGGGAGAAGTATTGTTCAGGCACTCATAGAATAGAATAAAAGTGTCGGCACTGAAGAAATAGGCCCATGGCCTGTTGCCGATTCTTGAATTTTTCGTGACTTGATTCACAAGGGATCCGGCCTTTGGAACCCGATCTTTCCATAGCTGACGATTGATTGAGATAGCTGCTGGACTTATTGCCTGGTCCGTAATTTGCTAGGCATTTTAAGACTGAACATATGCTCCTGCATAGATTCGTCTAGTCTGTTCTTGAAGGCGTTCATACTCGGAGCGTCAACAATGTCAGGGAGGCTGTTCCACTCCTAACTAAGTTGAGTACATACACTTGCAAAACTCACGAGTGAGCTATTGACTACTTCATACTTGATAGTGAATCTTTTAAATTCATGATCACCTAACGTGATTATGAATTGAAATTATTAAATTTTAGTTTCGTGTGTGGGCGGACGAATGAAGGAAGAGTTCAAGAGGGTTAAATTGTTAAAAGTCGTAAATACGATGCTAAAAAAGAAGTCACGAAGTGACTAAAAATGCCAAATTTGGCTGCTTTTCACAAAGTACTGTAACCAGTAGTAACTATTGTTACAGATAATATAAATAGAATGAAAGTTTAAATGAAGCTTTCTTTTAAACTCCACTTTATCAATATATATTACTACCCCGAAATTCAAAGTCACGTTGCCATGTAGCAACGTAAAGCAAAAAAATAATAACACGAGTGCAGCGACAGACGTTGCAGCTGTCGCTCTCCCTCACCAAAACAAGAGTTCCGAGGGCAGAGTATTATTTTATCATAACTTAAACTCTAAGGAAAATTTATAAAAACCCTGAAACTTCACACACAATTGATCAAAAAATCACATAAAGCAGGGTTTCCTCACGTTAGTTTAACCATTAACAACGGTTTGAAAGAATTCACCTTGAGACTGAATGAATAATTAACTAAGACTGAAGTTCATCCCGCTTTAAAATAATTTTATCCATCTTGTGATCGTCTATACAAACAATTTCCAGTCAATAAAAACTGAATGAAATCTCTAAAGCACGTGTAAAACAAGTGTTTCAGAGCTGAAAGGCCAAAGGTATTTTTGTTACACCCTCCTATACCAGTGTTTGAACCGCACTGAACGAGTCAGCGCGTACGTTCGTACGTCTGGCGGCCGACTGAGTCTCAGTCTCTCAGATGCCATCGGCGTCAACCTGAATTGCTAACTTGGGCACGAGAAACGTCACGACTTGAATTCATTCCCATATTTTTCTTTTTATGATTAGTCATCACACAGATACACTGAATTTCGAGTAAATTCGCCTAAAACTAAGAGATCCTGCTGAACATTCAATGTGTCACATAATGTGTGTAAAGTTTTACTTGAATAAATCTTAGATCATAGCCCTGGTAGTGCAAAATATCCAAGTCAGTTACATACGCGAGTCGTCAGGAGACGTTTCTTGTCTGGTGCTCTCGCTGTTGCTGACATTGGCGATGCTACTGACGTCATGGCGCCAAGTTTAGCAACTCTAACTCATCCCTGATCACGTTAGAGATGATCATGAATTTAAAACAGTGAAGTAATCACTCACGAAGCACCCAATAGATCACTCGTAAGTTACGCCCGAATTTGAACTGAACTCAGTCATGAGTGCGCGAACAATAGCCCCGCCTACCTCGGCCACGGCGCACCATCACAAGGGGAGCGTGCACGCAACACGCGCATCATACTTTGGGCTACGTGCACGCAACACGCGCACCATAACGTGTGCTGCGTGCACGCAACACGCGCACCATAACGTGTGCTGCGTGCACGCAACACGCGCACCATAACATGTGCTGCGTGCACGCAACACGCGCACCATAACGTGTGCTGCGTGCACGCAACACGCGCACCATACTTGGGGCTACGTGCACGCAACACGCGCACCATAACATGTGCTGCGTGCACGCAACACGCGCACCATAACATGTGCTGCGTGCACGCAACACGCGCACCGCATGCAACACGCGCACCATCACCGGAATTGTCGCTGCGTGTGACCGTGGCCGGGGAGCGACGCGCAACACGCGCACCATCACCGGAATTGTCGCTGCGTGTGACCGTGGCCGGGGAGCGACGCATTAGCTAATGCGCGTATAGGTGGCAGACGCTCAGGCTCGGATAAAAGCTATTTAGCGTGTCAATGTTAGAAATAATCAATTCAAAACACGAGTATTTTGCAACGTGTTACGCTAACTTAGAAAACAGGATACTTATAAAATAAGTTGATTGAAAGTCATACCTTTAAACGTTATTGCACTGGTAATTTTTAAAGCACGTGTTCGACACGTTTTTTGTTCGACATGAATTTTTGATACGTTACATTCCTCTCAAGAAAAATTTCAATATAGAATTGAAAAACGTTGCTATCTCTTCTGTACAAAATTTATGTCGATATCCTATAAATATACGATATATGTATTCATGACAATGTCTTTTTTATTCGTTCGAATCCTGTCACATATAATATAGAGTCCTATTAAAGCGCGTATCCACGTTCGAACATTCTTTTCTTCTATTAACATTGCTTTCGTTTCCTAATTTGCAACGGTGTTTGGAATTTGGCATAACGGGATTTTCATACTTCACCGATTATATCTATTAGGAAAATATATCCATAAGATTACATTGACTGCTGACTGCAGGTCAGTGTGTGACCTGCCCGACATGAGCCATAAACTTCACTAAATTATCAATAAAACAGGCTAGTAGGCTATAATAAAAGATTGCTCACCATAGGTCAGGTGACAGCCTGCCTAATATAAGCTATAGCCTTCACCGAAACATCATCAAAGCAAGCCAGCAGGTTATATAAGACTGCTCACTGCAGGTCAGGTGACAGCCTACCTAATACTGTATAAGCTATAGCCTTCACCAAAACATCAACAAGGCAGGCCAGCAGGTTATATAAGACTGTTCACTGCAGGTCAAGTGACAGCCTGCCTATTATAAGCTATAGCCTTCACCGAAACATCATCAAAGCAGGCCAGCAGGTTATATAAGACTGTTCACTGCAGGTCAATGGATAGCCTACCTGTGATGGGCGTATAGGCTATCCGCCCCAGAGGCTATCACGTTACCAACCGCACCGGAGGTCAGAATCAAGTCCGCTTGGCTGGCCTCCAGGCGCTAACACAGCCATGAACATGGATGTGTAATTGCTTTTATTATTTGGTTAATGCTTTCTTTAAAATATAATTGTGTTTATTATAGTGCATAAATACATTATACGAATAATAATGCATGTACTCGCATATTCCCATTCGAAAATTGAGCATTCACAAAATTTTTAACGTCCCCGACATTTCATTCGTAAAATAAATTTGAAGAACTTTCTGTAAAAATTATTCAGAATTACTTCCACGAATGCTGATTTTTAAGTGAAAATAGTATATAAATAGGAAATTGTGCTAACTGAATGCTGCAAAAGAATCATGATTCTTGCTTCATGCTCACTTTCATCAAGAATTCGTCTAATTTAATAGGAAAATAATATTTCAATGAGTTCAGAGCTCACGACTTCACATGAATTTGTGAAAATTCATTATTTACGACCTGAAAAATTACTTGACTTACTTGCTGCTTAATTCAAGTCCTTCAATTTTTAAAGTATTTATTTAGATGGCCTCTGTGTGTACGTGGTAAAATAATTAAATTTATATATTTGGAAATATTGCAACCAACATTTCTCTGAGTAGTTAAATTATCAACAATAAATTAATCAGAAAATTACAAGGGCAGTCATGAATTTATTTCACATGTGGTTACGAAATTTGCGAGATTAAATGTACGAAGACGATTTATTCCCGCTTATTAGAAATTTCTATAATGCGGTCTATTATTAAAATTTGGTTTACAGGCCGCATTGAATTGAATTAACGATTGACTTGTCCGGGATTCGTTCGATGAATTGGTTCATGAAAAATGCTTTGTTGTGTTACTTATTCTAATTGTGATATAAATAAAGTAAGTTTGTTATTTTGCTCTTAAAACGGCAGCGATTGATGATGAGAATCTCAACAAATTCCAAATGACATAAAAGAACTATAATATTTTTTGTAATCTATATTCTTTGCTGTTTTTTTTATATTTCATTATTTTATAATCTGTTAATCGTGCGTAATTTTCATCATGTAAATCAATAAATATACAGAATCGTAATTAACTATACGAGTATTAATCTAGAAATACTTCTTAACATTATGTGTTGTTCTAATTTTTCGAAACTTGCCGGATCATAAGAGGAATTTCACTCAAAAATATGAAGCATTCATGATAGTGAACTGACGCATTGAACATTGAAATTGTCCAAATTGTCCAAAGACGCATTGAACATTTAAATTGTCCAAACAGTGACTCTTCATAATTGTAGATTAAAAAGAGTGTAGTCTTTCTGAAGTTCCATTACAACATGAAGGAGGCCTAGAAAGCGAGTGTTGTATTT